AGTCCAGGGCGTCGTGTAGCGCCATGTGAAAGAAAAAGGCTCCGGCCAGCGTAGACTAAATGCTAAGGGTGAAGACGAAGTGGCCAGCGAAAGCTTCAAACTTCGGAGAAGAGGGGATGATGGTGGTACGACTCGAAAGGGATTCAGCCCGCGCAAGAAAATGATGAGTGCGCTGGCAAGTCCCACGCTGAGTCCCAAACTGCACCTTCTTTGGTGACGCATCGATTCCTGCCGAACTCGGCGGGTCTAGAAATGGGGCTGATACCAAGCCAATGCAACATTCCGTAGCTTTCTAAGCTTGAACAACCTGTTTCGGCGTAAATAAGTGTTCTCAGGTGCAATATAACTGCACCTAACCCACCGCCACCTTTCGCCACCATTTATTCGGTACAATTGCTTGCAAGGCTCGGCGGGGATCCGTGATGCGGCCGCCCCATAAAACCTGTCAATGCGAGCGCGACTTCGCCAGTTTGCCGGACAAGCGGCGCACCCAAGCGATTGCCTGATTCGGACGGAACCGCCCCGTTGGCTCACTCGTCCGCCACGCGTCTCGCGCGACTTGGGAGAGCGAGAACGTCGACGCGCCGCTAGCTACATTGTAGCTTCATCGTAGATAGATAGTCTATCAATAATAAAACAATAATATATGTCTAGTAGCCCGCTAAAAGTACTACATTGATTTGAAGGATTTCTTTCTTTTTTGCTTTGGCTGAGGTGAGGGATTGAGTATAGATTCGTCGGAGATTGAATCGGACCTTGCACGCGACTTGTTCAACTTGCGTTTAGGGGCCGACGTCGTCCTGCTTGGGCGTTGTGGCGTTGTCGGTGCCTCCACCTGTGGCGGTCCTGCATCCTCTGTCTCTGGCTGACTTTCTATGGTTGTGAACTCGGTTGTGAGACGCTCTAGCTGGTCACAAAGAGCCTTGACATGTGTCAAGGCCAGCTGTGCCTTTTGATAGATCTTGTGGTTGTCCTTCTCGAGATGTGTGTGGCCCAGTTCGTCTGCGAACTCGCTCAGACGCGGAGTAGTTATTGCGAGCTCGAAGAATGTGCGGATCAGCGTCTGTGTGTTCACGGTGGCTCTGGCGTCTCCTGGCTTCAGCTCGAAGGATGCCGGCATGGGCGCTTCTGATTCCTGATCCGTATCCGGCATCGTGTGAAGTTCCGAAGTTTTGTACACGGCGACCTGTGCGCGTTCTTCAGAACCGTCCTCCATCTCTGTGTCTCCCACGACACGACTCTCCTCTGCATCGACGTCTCCCGCGCTGGCATACTCAGAGGGATCGGCTTCACTCGTGTACTCTGATGGTGTCCGCCCCCCAAGAGATTCTGAATGGCTATTGCCTACTACTGCCACTCCATCATTCACCTCGTAGATTCCCTCGCCCTCCCTCAGGATGTCGTCAACGCTCTCGACCGCGCGCTTGATGGGGCTTGTAGTACCAGCCAGGTCTCCAGATGATGCCAGAGCGTTGGCGAATAGGCTCGCCTCAAGTATACGCGCTTCGTCAACGGTTTTAGGGATCGATGGAGCTGCCGGTACGTTCTTTCCTGCTTGCTTTAATGCCGAGAGCTGAAGTAGTGCTGCACGAAGATGTTTGCAGGCCCCACCACGCCTTCGAAAGTCTTCGCAATCGCAACGAGCAGCGCCGGTCAACTCAATGATGATCGTGTATGTGACAGGTTCCGTGTCGACAGATAGAGCGGCAGCCGAATAGCATTGGAAGGTGATGGTTTTCGTCTCCAGATCAAGAACGGGGGTGCTGACTTGACGTTTCTCCAGCAGGGCCTGTGCATCGGAATCACGGCGTTCGTCGGGCTCCAGATGCGCAATCGTTGGTCGCTCCAGAGTTGTACGACGCGCGCCAAGTAAGTGACCGCCCCCTGCCTGCCGTATTCGCGTTTCCCAAGCAATTTTGAGCTGATGGGCCATCTTCCGCTCTTCAAATATAGATGGAAAGACCTTGAAGACGAGGAGATTGACGAGGACATCAAGTCGAAGAGGACGACTGTTGTTTTGCCAGCGGTGTAAGTGCTTGTTCTTGAGGAGGTTGTTGAAGGACTCAAGATGATTCGTGGTCGGTAGGACGAACTCGAACGTACATCCCAGGATCTTCGCGGCGACGTGGCGGCCATGGTTCGACCATGACTTCCACAGCATCTCATCGTCAACCCAGTTGTCGCTGAGATATTTGAGGTGAGAAATCCCGGCATCTGCTGCTGTTGCCGCTGATGGATCCGAAGCTTTCAGGGCCTCCAATGTCTCCCTCTCTGCCGTAACGAGTCGTATAGCGTCTACGTGGACCAGTGAAGCCACCAAGGCATCCTCGAGGCGTACGAGCCGTGTGATGATTTCAGAGGCACCGACGATCTGTGAGTTACTCTTGAGGGTATGGTTGCGATGATTGGTCCAGCACTGACGGAGATGAAACTTGCAGAGGATAAGCCAGATGCCCGGAAACACTTTGAGCAGTGCGTTCCGTTCCTTCGTATCGGTGTCTGTGATCGCGACAAGGGCATGGAAGGAACTCCCGTTTTGTTCGCCCATGGACTTTCTCCATTCGGTAAGTAAGCGTGTGAGGATCTCGGTGTTGTATCCGCTCGGTGTGAACTTGTTACCAGAGGGAGCAGAGAACAGGAAGAACGCGATAGGTACGCCTCTCGATTCTTCGTCAAGCGCCATGGCAATGAATAGTAAGATTTTGCTATTGCAGACACCGAAAGTACCGTCGAGAATGATCTGCGAGTTATGTGCGTACTTCCATGCAGCGCTCTTCATCTCCGGGGTGGCGATGCAGATTTCGAAGCGCTCACTTCGTTTTGTCCGGGCCGAGTAGTGGAATACGGCTTCGGCGAGAGTGGAATTGTATTCGGGATGGGAGGGGTTCAGCCAGTGGTCGACGTTGCGATGCGGTGCGGTATCGACGTCTACGCCGCCCAAGCGCTGAAACTGGCGATACAAGGAGCGTGAATCGCCCTGCTTGAGCAGCCAGCGGTACGGTGACGACGTCCAATCCTTGGACATCCCGGGATATCCACCAGTGCGTACCAGTAGTCTGTTCTTCTCCCTGATATCGGACCACACACCTCCATCCCGTAGCTGACGCAGTGCGACTTTCCAGACCTCGGGATGAACGGGGAATACAGGCAGGTGAGACATCTTTGCAGAACGGCAAGCATCGTTGTGATTGAAGAGCCCTCGTATACGCAATACGATGTTGGTGGAGTATACAACTTCACAGTGACCGAGACAGGAGGTGAAGGGAAAGGTAGTGTGGCGTTTTTTCGAACCAAGACTCTCTTCGTTGTACCCGCATTTACTGACCGATTATCAATATTCTCTTCTAGCCTGGATCATCAGCAACTGTGCTCACCATTGATAGAGAACCCGTTGTGAAGGCTTTCCGCCCACCTTCGGCCCCTCCCCCTTCCACCGAATGCTCCAGCGATTCCCCATGTTCTCCCTCGACGCCTCGTCCACACCATAGCCCTCAAGAAGTCGCATTGCCTCCGCCTGGTCTAACCTGTCGCTTATATCGAAGATGTGGTCAACGACGGACGTTCCGTGAGCGTAGAGGGCCCGGATTTCGGATTCTTGCTGGGAGGAGATGTACAACTGGTCAAGAGGGATATCGGAGGCACGTGCATGGGCATTCAAGCCAGATGATTCGTCTCCGTTGGCTTCTTTGGACTTATAGACCACGAATTTTGTCGGAGGAGCAGAGAGAGGGGTAGGGAAATGAATGGGTGTTTCGGGCTGCGGGGTATTGGTGGAAGGCGTAGTAGTGCCTTGTAACGGTAAGACATCCGACGACGACGTTTTCGGTGAGGCGATTGAGGAGCTCGTCTTCCCATTGTATTTGCTCGGTGATGTGTTAAACCATTGACTACCTTGACTTATTGCTTCGGGCTCCACAGGTTTTCGAGGTTTGGCGGATTTTCGAGCCATCTGAAAGAAGTATTGGGCCTTGCAGGAGAAGGAATAGGAACACCAAAAATGTGAGACATCCAGATTCGGCCAATACTCAGAGTATTTTGGGTGGCGAGAGATGTGGCCCTCATGCTACTCCTTACTGCAGCTCCAACAATGTCCATGGTCCTTGAGACCACCTTTATGCATGTTTAGAATATATTTACTGTGCAGCATAAGGCTTAAATGGATGGGAATAGTGTGCTAAGAAAGGCTCGATAAAAGGTAGCTAGCGGCGCGTCGACGTTCTCGCTCTCCAAGTCGCGCGAGACGCGTGGCGGACGAGTGAGCCAACGGGGCGGTTCCGTCCGAATCAGGCAATCGCTTGGGTGCGCCGCTTGTCCCAGTTTGCCTCTTGCGTTCCACCATCGATGTCCCTCCGACTGTCTTCCTGGAGTTACGGCTCGCGCTCCTTTGACCGCCCGCCGCTACCTTGCCCGCCGCTTGTTATCCAGGTAGGCCAGTTGAATGACTCTACGAGAAGAGGGCGCTCAGTCGGATGCCTCTTCCCTTGCGAGATCCATGTAGGTAAAATTCTCACTCTACTCGCTTCTCTATTGCACTCAATGCTGACATAGCGCTGACAGCCCCGCCGCCCT